AAGTCCCCAGAATTTCTCAAAATCCTATGAGCTCCCAACTGGACCTCACAGGAGGGTTTCATATTCTCTATCTCCAGATTCGATGACTTTAGCCCTTTTAGTATTCCTTATCTCACCTTTGATTTCTTCAAAAATGCTGTGTCTAAATTTCTGGGCTCTCAATAGGGAAAAGTTGCCATAAGCACACACGACCACAAAGATAGCTTTGTGAGTTTCCAGTGGCTACATCTAGTCATACAATCTTACATTTGAACACTTGGCATTTCAAGTTTTTTTTCTACTGATGAAATTCCTTTAATAAGACACTGGATCCTTGATTCTCATCGAGTTGAATATTTAATTTGCTTATTATAGTTTGGTGGTTTTAAATACTAGCAGGAGGGTGAGAGGACACTTCCTGAGGTGTCCAACTAAGAGCCAGGACACTTGGATCCCAGTCCTGGGTCTGTCTTGTTCATCACATTACCTTGAGCAAGATGCTGGATTTCTTTCTTCGCCTCGGTTTCCTTATTTGACCCTTTGAGAATGATAGAAATATCTGTTGTGCCCTATTCCAAGGGTTAAATAATGAGGCTATTATGTGAAGCTCATTTGCACATGCAGCTTTTCAAACTTACTTTCGTCATCTTGGAGCACCTGGGTGGCGCCCTCAGTTAAACGGCCGACTCTTGATTTTGGCTCAGGTGGCGATCTCATCATCGTGGGACTGAGCCCCATGTTGGGCTCCGCTGCTGAGCATGGAGCCCACTTGGGATTTTCTCTCTCTCCCTCTCTCTCTGCCCCTTCCCTGCTCACTCTCTTTCTTTCTAAAAAAATTAAAAAAAAACAAACCCTTAGTTTTTTCATCTCTGTAACGAGACATAGGATTAAGAATACAAGAGAGAAGATAAATAATTCATATGATTTCTGTATCACCAGTATCTATTTTAAAAGATATAACTCCATTTCAAAGATAATATTTTGAGGATATGCAAAATACAATGTTTAATGAGTTATGCAACAATATGTGTGGAATTATTTCTTTTCTTGGAAATATTTATTTTTATTTTTTATATTTTATTTTTATTTTATTTTTTAAAGAGTTTATTGTCAAGTTGGTTTCCATACAACACCCAGTGCTCATCCCAACAGGTGCCCTCCTCCATGCCCATCACCTCCCTTCCCCTCTCCACCTCCCCCCATCAGCCCTCAGTTTGTTCTCGGTATTCAAGAGTCCCTTGTGGTCTACCTCCCTCTCCTTAACTATTTTTTCCCCTTCCCCTCCCCTATGGTCCCCTGTTAAGGCTCTCCTGTTTATGTGGAATTATTTCTGAGATGAAAGGTAACGATAACTACTTCTCAGGTGTGGGAGAAAACCTTTACTTTTTATTAAACTTTTTCTTTTGGAATACTTTTAGATTTACAGAAAAATTGTGAAATTAGAACAGCGAGGTGCCATATATATATATATATGCCACTCCCTGTTTCCATGGTTATTAACATCTTACCTTAGTATGGTATCTTTGTCTCAATTAATGAACCAATATTGATACATATTTATTTTATTTTTAATTTTATTGTTATTTTGAATGTTTATTTATTTTTGAGGGAGAGAGAGGAAGGGAGACAGAGAATCTGAAGCAGGCTCTGCACTGATAGCACAGAACCCAAATTGGGGCTTAACCCCATGAACTGTGAGATCATGACCTGAGCCGAAGTCTGACGCTTAATCAGCTGAGCCACCCAGGAGCTCCTTGATGCATGTTTATTAACTAAAGTCCACAGTTCACCCAAAGTTTCCTAATCTTTACCTAATGCTCTATTCATGTTCCAAGACACCATCCTGGGTGTGAGAGTACATTTATTTGTCATGTTTCCTTAGTTTCCTTCTGCCTCTGACAATTTCTCAAGCTTTCCTGGTTTTTATGACCTTGACAATTTTGGGATGTCCTGGTCAGTTGTTTCATAGAATGTTCATCAACTGGGATTTGTCAGATGTTTTTCTCATTTTCAGATTGGGGTTAGGAGTTTTGGAGCAAGAGATTGAGAGAGGCTGAGTGTCATACGCATCACATCCTATCAAGGGAACATACCATCATTATGACTGACCACTATTGACTCAGACCTGAATCACCTGGCTGATCTAGTGTTCACGAGCTTTTTCTACTGTGGAGTTATTCCCCACCTCCTGCTTTTTACATGCTTTTCCGAGGGAAGTCAGTATAAATATACCACACTTAAAAAATGGGGGGTTATGTTCTCCCTCCTTGTGGGTAGCTGTATAAATGATTAGGAATCCCCCTGCATGGAGATTTGTTCATTCTCTTCATTTGTTTGTTTACTATATTATTTATTCGTATCAGCATGGGCTCTTAGATGTTCATTTTATGCTCTAGGTATACTCCAATACTACTTTATTTATTTATCTATTTATTTTCTTGCAGAAAATTTTCCAACATTGGCCATTGAGAGCTCTTTTAGTTGAGCCTAGTGTCCCTTTGACATACGCCATCCGGGTAGGTGTGTGCACATGCATGTGTGCATATGTATGCGTGTATGTGTGTGTATGTCTTGAGCACTTTCGTACTTCCTGGTATTACAAGAAGCTCCAGACTCAGCTTGTATATTTTTAGCTTCAGTTCTAGAATCAGCTATTTCTACAGGGAGCCTTGGTTTCTTTTATTAGAGGATGATGTTAGAAACCAAGAACTGGGTGCCACATATGCTCCTTGTTATTGGGAAGTTGTTGTTTCCAGGCCTCAGATGAGAGAGCAAAGAAATACATGTGTGTATATTAACTCATGTGTATTCCCCTCTCTGTAAATATGTAACCATTTTTCTATGTTAAGCTAAACACGAGTTCCTACTGATTTTCTGACTTGAATCTATTACCACATTCCAACCTCTCCTGGCTGTCTGTAAAATCCAGCTACACCACCATCTGCTATTCTCCATCCATTCACTTCATTGCTCAGTAGCAGCACACATGTCTTGTTGTGTTAGAATCAACAGCCTATACTCCATGGTGAAAATTTAAAAAAAAACAACTTTATCAACTGAGACTGAGGCTTATGTAGAGTTTCTTTTGCCTTTAGTCTTACAGATTAGACTCATTTGCAAAGTTACATAGGTCAGTACTTCCCGTTCTCCTCCCACCTTTAGTGAGGCTTTTCCATACTTTAGTAATACAGTTAGATTATTTGGTCACATTCTACACTCCTTCCTAGGATCCCCAAAGTCCTAAATGATTTTTTAAAAATTTATGGGGCACCTGGGTGGCTCAGTCAGTTGAGCATCCGACTTCGGCTCAGGGCACGATCTTGTGTTCGAGCCCCGCGTCGGGCTCTGTGCTGACAGTTCAGAGCCTGGAGCCTGCTTCCGATGCTATGTCTTCCTCTCTCTATTCCTTCCCTACTCACACTCTGTCTCTCTATCTCTCTCTCTCTCAAAAATAAATAAACATTAAAAAAATAAAAGAAAAAAGAATAGTCTCTGCTTAAAAAAATCCAGTGTGCTTCACTTGTTAACCACCACCTTGAACTCTTGGTAGCCACTGGTCTACTTTCTTTTTTTTAAATAGATGTTTTTGTAATGTATATTTTTGAGAAAGAGACAGAGACAGAGACAGAGAGCGTGCACACAAAGGAGGGGAGGGGAGCGGGGGGTGGCAGGACAGAGGATCTGAAGTGGGCTCTGCACTGACAGCAGTGAGCCCAATGCAGGGCTCAAACCCACAAACCATGAGATCATGACTTGAGCTGAAGTCAGAAGCTCAACCGACTGAGACATCCAGGGGCCCAGCTTGCCTTGTCCATAGCTTTGCCCTTCCCAGAATGTCACATAATTAGAGTCATACCATAGGTGGCCTATTTATAGGACTTCCTTTCACTTAACACTAAGTATTTAAGAATCAGCCATGTTTTCCCCCTTGTTTGACAGCTCATGCTCTTGTTTATCATTGAGTAATATTCCACTGTGGCTTATGCATCCACTCCTTTATCAAAAAACATCTTGGTGGTTTACATTCTTTGGCTGATCATGAAAGTCATTGATTTTCAGTTTGTCCAGCTTTTTCTTAGAAGAATAGGAGTGATAACTTAAAAGCTCATTCCAGACACTGGAAGTCAAACTTTTATTTTTCACTTTGTACAATTCTGCACAATTATTTTTCCACTTAATGTTACTGCTGAAGAAGTTTTAAATATATTGCTTGTTTCTCTAGTTTATTGGATGGAGAGATTGAAATATATCTGAATCTTAAAGGTTTCAAAGCCTTCATGAAACGGACAAGAATGTATTTGAATGTAAGTTGCCCTTTTTAATGATTTTCTGGTTTCCTCACATGCTTACATAAGAATATAAGTCCCACATGTGTTTATATTCATACCTATACAAATACAGATGCATATATGTAGACACGGGACTATATACCTGAAGAGGCTGGAGATGACGTGGCCTTAACTTATGGGCTTTGGAGGCAGAATGCCTAGGTTCAAATCCACCTCTCTCACTTGCTATCTGAGTGAGACACAGTATAAATGACAAATAATGCATTTGGCTTCTTAAGCACTGATTTTCCCAAAGAATAGTCATATAAGATATTACTGGATGCCTACCACGTACTAGAAGTGACATTAGACATTAGTTTGATCTGCATACCATCCTGTGAAAAGTGTATTTGGAAAGCCCTTTTTAGACTTGGAAAACCTGATGATCAGAAAGGAATGCAACTTGTCTCTGGTTGCACAGCCTGCAAACAGGAGAACTGGGATTCGATTTCAAAGCTGCCAGGTCTCACACCAGTGCTTTTTCGACTGTGTTCTCTGCCTTCCAGCAGTATCACAGTGATCGGCTCCAGCCACAGTGCGGGGTCTGGGGAGAGTTTTCAAGGTTCTAATGGACGCATTTATGCTAAACTGTCAGCATTAGAACTGAACCCACTTTGGCCCTTCTGGAATCTTGAGTCTGGAATCTTGCATGAGGCTAGAATCCTCATAAAACAATCCCAACCAGTTACACCTCTTTGAGAAACTTGTGTGACTGGTTCCTGGATGTCTCTTGTCTCTGATCCTACATAACATCCGTACCCATTTTCCTGAGGTACCGGTTCCTACTCCTCTACTTTGGTGATAATCTGGTGAAAACAAGTTTCAAGTCAAAAATCCCTGCGATCATATCCTGGCTCTGTGTCTTACAAGCTGTGGGACCTTGAACAATTACTCAATCTCCATCTTCTCAGCTATAATTCAGGGTGATGGTGTTGTTGATCTATTAGGGTGGTTGTGAGGGCTGAGTGAAGGGAGCCTTGTGAGGGACTCCCTAGATGGTGTCTAACACTGTCCAGCACAATTGGCCCCAGCCACTGAACATTTGGAAAAGGGTTAGTCCAAATAAACATGAGTTGTAAATGTAAGTGCGCAGTGGATTGAGAAGACTCAGCACACACAAAAATAAAAATAATTTTAAAGATGATGTGTAGAAAAAATAATATTTTGGCTTTATTGGGTTCACTTTTTTTATAAACCCATTTTCTCTTTTCCTCTGTTTATTTTTTCTTAAGGTGGCCACTGAAAAATTTAAACTCATGTATGTGGCCTGCGTTTGTGGCTGACATGATATTTCTATTGGATAGTGTTTGCCAAGCACACAACAGGTGCTCAATAAACATTATCTGTGAGGCGCCTGGGTAGCTCAGCTGGTTGAACATCTAACACTTGATTTTGGCTCAGGTCATGATTTCATGGTTAACCAGGTCATGATTTCATGGTTTGTGGACTGAGCCCTGGGTCAGGCTCTGAACTGACAGTATGGAGCCTGCTTGGGATTCTACCCCAACCCCCAACCCCCACATGAGCTCTCTCTTTCTCTCTCTGTTTCAAAGTAAATAAATAAACATTCAGCAAAATATGTCACTTGAAAAAAACCATTATTTGCTATCATTAAGTTCAGCAGTCTGTGAGCTATGATCACTATGCCTCATTTGTTGGCATGAATTCAGTGATTTTGAGTGATATCTTAGTAACCTGAAAGCATTACATAACTCCAAAACTAGTATGATAGAATTCATTTGTTAACACAAATGTAAGGAAACAGTAAACATGTCAGGCAAATATACATTTCTTCCCTTCTTTGCCTTGAATCTTCTCCTAAAGTATATCAGACCATATTAATAATAAGACACTTGATTTATGTTGGTTGACATGGGAATAAGTGCTAGATACACTAAAGCGTGGCATCTAAATTCTATTTTAATTTCATTTGCATAGAATAGAATGATTATTGCACCTTGAACTATTCTCCTCCATGGGGAGCTGAGTCAGCAATCTATGATTTCTCTGCCCAAAGTCATAAAGAAGACTAATGAAACATGAGAGGTGTAATTGGTAAATTATGATGTGATATATATTTTAGGTTTAAAATATTATTCTGGAAGGATTCCATCCATATCAATGTGCTAGGATAATAATAATTAACTCTGTAAGTTTTATGGAAAAAGACTGTTATTTATGAAACACCAGAAGGAATGATTCATTATCCTTCATGGTGTTAATTTCACAAATATCTGAAAAACTTCCTTTATTATCTAATTTCACAAGCCTTCTTCCTGGGCCAAGACTCAATTCATATTCTGTTTTTTTGATAGCTCTCTTCTAATCTTCCAAATGCCCCATTTTGTGGTTCTTTTTATCCACACTTTTCAGATCAGAGCTACTTTCTTACCCAGTTTTTCTTGGCCACTATCTCTAAGAGATAGGCTATCGATTGCTCTCAGAATAAGTGGTTTCCACTTATTTGTGTATGAAGCACTGATTAAATATGGTGTCACTGAAAATGTAATCTGCGTCCAGATTACAAGCTATAGCAAAATGCACTAGCAAATGTGGAAAAGATTAAAAATCTCTAACATAGTGACATGATAGATAGTTATATTCTTGAGCTTACTTAAAAAATTCCTTAGTGGCAACCTGACATTTTTTTTTCTTTTTTGAGGGGGTGAAGAGAATCTAGTCTATGTTTACCAAATTCCTTTATTATTCAAAGTGAATGTGTTGTTATGTACCCAATTTGAATTAATCAATACGTTTTCCTTTAATATTGAGTGACTAGGACTAAAACGATAAACTAATTAAAAATAATATTTATAAGGGAATAGGAATATGAGATTAATGAATCCATTGATGTTATCAGTAATTAAAATTCATAACAGTCTAGGTAAAGATATAAGCCACTTGCTAATTTCAAACTCTAGGGAATATCCAAAATTAATACATAGATGTTTCCTAACTGAGAATTTAAAATGCATAGATAGAAAATAAGGGCCACCTATTTTATAGAAAATTCCATAGAGCAATCCTGTGAGGGAATATAGCTAGACAAGAAGTAGAAGGCTAAGAACCAATACCATTAAATTTAAATGGATAAGTGTTTTGATTAGGAAAATTCTGATCATTTTGCATGTAGCATTCATTCAGTGACTGGTATTTACCATTAATTTTCAAATGAGAATCAATTGTCCTGTAAGTTTTACTATTTTTTTTTAATTTTTTTAATGTTTTTTTTTTTTAATTTATTTCTAGGAAAGAGAGAGAGACAGCGTGAGCAGGGGAAGGTCAGAGAGAGAGGGAGTCACAGACTGAAACAGGCTCCAGGCTCTGAGCTGGCAGTCAGCACAGAGCCCGACGCGGGGCTCGAACCCACGAAACGCGAGATCATGACCCAAGCGAAAGTCGGACGCTTAACCGACTAAGCCACCCAGGCGCCCCAAGTTTTACTATTTAGACCCAGTTCAGTTTTATGATTTTTTTTTTAGACTAGAAGGGTGTTATCTACTTCTCACTATGTGAAATGGTTTATTGAATTTAGTGAATTATTGAAATAATTCTCAATGACAAACTTATTTGTTTATTATTGAATTACCTACTTTTAAGATACATATTCAGGTTTCAGGACTTGCTGCATTACATCAGATTGGAATGTACGATGGCCGGAGAATGCTATGTAGACATAGTTATGTGGTATGGTTTTGGATTACTGAGCATAGTCGCATGGCATAGGATAATTTGCTTAGGGCTTTGCATTTATTAAATTCTTCATCTGGCACTGAGTCTTATGGCCGACTGTCATCCTAGAGGGAGGAAATGCTTAGCCTTGAAGTCTATCCTATACCTGGTGTGCCATCTGGTCCCATCTTGCAAACACTGGCTTTGTCGCCTTTCCCTTGCTCTGACCTTCCCATTCCTCCACTGCAGTCCATGTGGTTACCTTCAAGGTAATGAATATCATTGCTTCTGACTTCAATCTCCTTAATCATAATAATACCTCAATGCTTATAGCTAGCATTTCTAATGCTAGACACTGTGCTAAATGTTTTCCATGGATGTTATTTAACCTTCACATGAACCATGATGAGCCTTCAGGGGGAATCCTAATAAAACCTACTCCCTATTTTACAGACAAGAAACTCCAAAAGATTAAGAAACAGGTCCAAGCTTCAACTGTCGAGTGGCAGAACCTGTGTACCGTCTGACCCCAAACCTCACTCTCATCAGCATCACCTGTGCCAGGCACTGACAGCTCCTGGGGTGATTGATGTTTCGTCCGAAGTCCACAAAACCTCCATCCAGGATGTTCTACAGCTCCTGTCTTCTCCACCACTGAGGCCAGCTCTCCTGAGCTTGGGTGGGAGTCAGTGAGGTTGGGGAGAACATTGGTCTCTCACTAAATTACTACTTCCTTTTAGTCTAAGACATATGAGAATCTTGCTAAGAGATTAGGAGAGGGATGATTTATGTATGGAGATAGCCAGGTTTTCCTTTGATGCCTCTCTGTGATGCTGGCCTTCATGGGAACAAGTATTGAGTCATGACAAATTACCGATCTTATAATAGGGTTACACTTAAATGCAAGGTATTACTTTTGCTGTGAAATGATTTCACACCCATGGATAATCAAGCATTCAATCATCCTTTAGGGTCCCAAACTTGATATCTGAGTGCTCTGGATGAAGAAAGTGACAAACCTTATATCTCATCCTGCATACCTTTTCTCTCACTGATAAAGTATCTTTGAACCTAACCTTTTGGTCTGCCTAAGGCTAAAGCCCTTTCTTCTTCCTGCAGTTAGGCCCTGGGACATTGCCCTAAAGAAATCCTTATTGGGCACCAAATACCTCAGCATCCTAGCTGAGAAGTGAAACTTATGGCAGGGGGAGACTTTTATTAGGACTGGTGGAGAATAAAGAGAGGTAAGTGATGAGCTTGGCCTTCAGGGAGGCTTTGAAATCTCTGCAAGAGGCATTGGGCCAGAAGTCAGCAGATCATCAATGATAATCTAATCTGGAAGAAACAGGCAGCCAGGAGAGCTGGAGTAATGACCACACACTACCAGTTGGCTATTTCCCCAAGGGTAGACACAAGCAAATTTGTGGTCCTGGGATTCTTTTTAAACTCACCTTTCAGGACAATATGTATGAAGGCTCTATATTAAGAAGTTAATGTAAGGGTTGATGGAGGGAGGTGGGTGGGAGATGAGCTAGATCGGTGATGGGTACTAAGGGCACTTGTGATGAGCACTGGGTGTTGAATGTAAGTGATGAATCACTGAATTCTACTTCTGAAACCAATATTGCACTGTATGTTAACTAAAAATTAAAATAAATTTTTTTTTAAAACTATAACATTGCAAGGCAGGACTCTTCTCTACTGGAATCTTGACTATAGTGCATTCAGTCTACTTCTGATAAGCCCAAGCTGAAAGATAATGACAATTTGGGGAAATTTTCTGGAATAAACCCCATTCTATATCTAAAAAAAAAGTTAATGTACTGCTGGTGAAATTGGTTTCCAGCATCTGTTTTAATATGCTTGTGTATATTGGTTAGTTTGGTCAAACAAAGCTAGAAGAGAGAGGGAAACAGAGGGACAGAGCTGAATAAAAAAACAATCTCAATCCATGGGCTGTTGTTTTCTTCAATCGGTGTAATTAGTTCTGAGCTCTTTATTTCCATGGCAATTTTACCCCCATGATACGTATGTCTCCTAGGCTAATAAATATAATCACTGATAGCTACTGAATCCTATCCAGTAGTGTAGGACCGGCAGCAGCATAAGGCTGAATATCCTCCCTTGCCGGGTATATTTCTCTAACCCCGGAGTATTGTTTTGCTCCCTAGCTCTTAACATTTTTTTTTAAATTATTTAAATCTAAGTTACATAACATATAATATAATCATAGTTTTAGGAGTCGAATTTAGTGATTCATCACTTGCATACAACACCCAGTGCTCATCCCAACAAGTGCCCTCCTCAATGCCCATCATCTATTTTCCCCACACACCCACCTACCTCCCATCCAGCAACCCTCAGTTTGTTCTCTGTATTTAAGAGTCTCTTATGGTTTGCCTCCCTCCCTCTCTGTTTTGCTTCCTAACTCTAGAAATAATGGTTCTAAGTTTCTTTTATTTTTATCTCAAGCGAAAGTTTTGTTTTGTCATAAAGTTTTGTCTTAACGTATTGTAGAATTTTACTATAGGGATTTTCATCTTTCCTTAACTTTTTGTTCTTGTTTTACAGAAAATATGATATACCATCTACCTTGGGATGCCTTTCCTAACTGAAATAATTTTTATATTCTCCTTTCTGGAGTATGACTTTTTAAAAATAAAATAACTATGATGTAAAATTTCTCAGATTTCTTTTTTATAGCCTCATACCTAGACAAGGAGATATTTTAACAACAATCAGTTATTAAATAATGTAGGACTATTTAATAACAATCAGTTATTAAAATATAATGTGATAGTTTTATAAAAGTAGAGAGTTTGTCTGATACTGCTCTGACAAACGTATTCCACAAAGTCGTAAAAGTGCAGTTATAATTTCTGATAAATAAACAAATATATTTTTAAAAAACCTCTCCTATGGAAATCACCGGGTGATTTAAAAAAAATACACGAAGCATGGTCTTAAGAAGTATAACTATAGGTATAGAGAACCAATACAAAATAAAAATGTTGTCATGGTCCAAGAGATACATGACAATTTAATATAACAATAAAGAAATGTATCTACATGAGTAACTGAAAGTGAACTGTATAAATCATATGGTCACTTCTTGGAAATGGAAACATATGAAATATATCTGCTGGTTGAGCATTTGACCTACTCTGAAGAAGTTACTACTAAGATTCAAAGTAAGAATGTAAGCCATTATTGTGCTCAGATGTGGCACAGATCTGGCTTCAGATGCTGTGTTTCGTTTTGTTAGCTCTTTTTTTTTTTTTTTTTTTTTTTTTTTACGATTAAGTAACAGAAATTATTTGCCTGTGGTCACCATCTGTCAACATCAAAGCTTTACTTAATGACAAATAATGCTGTGAAACTATCTCTATATTGATTATAAAGCACTAGTGTGTTAGAAAATTTCAGTCCAAAGGAAGAACAAAGACATGTAGGCCACTACTGATACAGATACAACATTTACAGGTGATCATATTTTGGCCAGGGTTGGTGTTAACATTTCTTATAACTTCCAAATTCCTTAGCATGATAAAACTGTAGATAAGTCACCAGAGTTATCTACATTTCACTAGAGTTTAGTGCATATCTCTTATCCAGATTGGCAAATCCTGGCTTTCAAGAGTTACCCAATTCATTGCTTTGAATATATTTCTATGCAAGAATTTTTGTTTGTCATCTATGCTGTTTACAACATTTAATTTGAAAATTTTTATACCTGTAGAACAGTGGCAAGAGCAATAAAATAAACATCCATTAAGTTTACTAAGACTTATCAGTTATTGGCTTCTTGAAACATTGCCTGTATTCTCTGTCTCTTTCCATGTACACAGACACACATAATAATTTTTTGGACTGAACTATTTGAGAAGTAGGAGTAGTTGTAGGCATCATGACACTATGATCCTAAATATTTTAGACATAATATTGGCTGAGCCATTTGAGAGGGAGTTGCAGGCACCAAGATACTATAGTCCTAAATATTTCAGATGTATCATCTAAGAACGAGAATATTCGTCATATAGAGGTGTTTCGGGAGCTCATTCAGTTAAGCCTCTGACTTTTGATGCTGGCTCAGGTCATGCTCTCACTGTTGGTGAGATGGAGCCCTGCATCCGTGCCACCAGCACAGAGCTGGCTTGGGATTCTTGCCCTCCCCGTCTCTCTGCCCCACTCCTGCTTGTGCCCCCCTTCAAATAAATAAATAAACTTTAAAAGAGAATATTCTTCTCTAATTTTTTAACATTTATTTATCTTACAGAGAGAGATGGAGCGTGAGTAGGGGAGGGGCAGAGAGACAGAGACACAGAATCTGAAGCAGGCTCCAAGCTCTGAGCTGTCAGCACAGAACTTGAACTCACCAACCGAGAGATCATGATCTGAGCTAAAGTCAGAGGCCTAACCAACTGAGCCATCCAAGCAGCTCAAGAATATTCTTCTATATAACCACAATGCAACTATTGCACTCAAGAATTCAAAAAAAAATTTTTTTTAAACTTTTTATTCATTTTTTGAGAGACAGAGAGAGTGCAAGCAGGGAAGGGGCCGAGAGAATGGGGAAGACACAGAATCTGAAGCAGATTCTCTGAGCTGTCAGCACAGAGCCCGATACAGGGCTCGAAGTCATGAACCTCAATATCATGACCTGAGCTGAAGTCAGCCACTTAACCGATTGAGCCACCCAGCTGCCCTTCGAGCTCCAGAAATTTAATGTTGATACAATACTGCTATTTAATATACAGCCTATTCAAGTCATCCTATTTGAGTTGATAATGTCCTTTGTCATTTTATTTCTAATGTTTTATTAAAGTATAATTACATATAGTAAAAAGCATGGGTTTAAAGTATACAGTTTGATATTTTGGTAAATGTATACCCAAGTAACCAACACCCAAATCAAGATATGGAGCATTTCTGTAACCCAAGAACCTTCATTCATGACACTTTCTAGTCAATCCTCTTTCCTCTATAACCCCTAGAGGAAACCACTGTTTTTAACCCTATAGGTGACATTTGTCTGTTTGTGAATTTCATATACACTGGATCATGCAGCGCATACCAATTTATGGTTAGTTTCTCTCTGGTCCCATATACCAGTGTCTGCAAAGAATGTTTTATTGGGACACATGCTCATTTGATTATATTGTCTACGGTTGCATTCACCTGGTAACAGCAGCACTGGGTTTTTGTGACAAGGAATGTATGTCACCTTCTCACTGCTTCCCGTGGCTGCTTGGTATACTACGAATTACTGAAATCCTATTATAAATTACTGGCATTTTGAACGCCATGTCTATTATTGTGCCATAGCATTTAGTTTTTTATTTTTCTATTACCAGTCCCTACCTGCCGTGTCGAAACAGTTTTGAAAGTTGTACTTTTAATGAGGAGTGGAGGATAAACTAGTAACTATCAGAGGAGATGGCAAAGCACCATGTTTGCTATTCAGTGACGCTGTAGCTGTACCCAGCTAATGTTGTATCATTCAACTTTACTAGACTAACCACTCATTATAATAGTCCTACTCACACAAAATCAACTTTAAGAGAACCCAGAAGTTTTAAAATAGGATATCTCATCAAAGGAATAGTTTTTCTCCAAAACATTTAAATATACTGAAATAAGGCTGAAATCAAAGTAAATTTCTCAGCAACTCATTTGTTAGCCAGCCAGTTACCGATGTTGAGTTAAGTGTTTGATTGCAGCAGATGAAGAAGTGTGCCCAGAGAAAATACACTTAACCCTATTAGCCTTTTAGTGAGAACCATTGCTTGAAGAGTTAAGGAAATTGAGAACAATAGGTGGAGTAAACATACTTTCCATATTCCTCTTAGCTAGAATCCCTGGGCATTAGAAATTTAAAAAATGAAGAAGAGTCTGAAAAGGGGAGAGAAGAAGGCAGACTGAGTGGGGAGTGTAGGGCCCATGCAATGACACAGTGGTGAGTTCCCTTTTCTTCTGACTCATCTATCGCATACTGGTGACTGGAGAAGCCAGCAGCTTAGTAATGCCAAATGGAACAGGCAAAAATTACCCAAGAAAGGCTTACTCACTCTATCCCAAGGGGCTACCTAACAAGGCAGCTTTTAGATAAGAACTGTACAAATGTACTTGTTCAGCCAAACACCACAGAAAATACTATCACCAACCCTCACCCTCACCAAAGCTAGAATGGAGAGTCTGGGTATTTTACAAGGTACCCCAACTCATCTCCATGGTTGTGTTAGAGGCTAAGTGGGGAAACTGGCTCTCCATCCCTGGGTGGTAATGAGGAACCCAAGAGGTTGATAGAAATGACATGGGAAGCCTGGAATTTTCCAACACCTGGAAGAGTAGTATCAGAGAAACCCCAGTGGGGAGTTGGGCTTTTCACCAACACTCAGCTAATAGGGATATGATTATGAGACCATCCCTCTTCACATTGTCAGTGGAGGTCTTTCAAGGGGCTTCTATTGAGTAGTAACATGGAGCCTCACCCTTCCGGTTGTCAAGAGAGGTCTAGTGGAGAATCTAGGCATCTAACTCCACTTGGCAGTAACAAGGTGGTATTCCTCTTCCTGAGTGGAGTTGTGTCAGAGGGAATCTATTAAGTTACAAAACTTATGTAAGACCCCAGTTGTCCAGATTTCAATAGAAAAAACACTTGATATCCTAAGAACTTGGAAAATCTTAATTTGGAGAAAGAAAGACATCATTACATGCCAACCCTGAGATGTCACAGAAGTTAGGAATATCTCACAGGGATTTTAAAGCAGCCGTCATTAAAATACCTCAACAAGCAATTATGAACACACTCAAAACAAATGAAAAAATAGACGTTCTCAGCAAAGAAATAGAAAATTTGGAGAAGAGCTAAAAGGAAATTTTAGAACTAAAAAACACAGTAGCCCTGCAAATAAACTCAGTAGATAGTCTCAACAAAAGAATGAGTGTATTTGATAAAAAAACTATAGAAACTACCCAACCTAAACAAGACAGAGAAAATAGACTGAAAAGTGAACCAAGACTCAGGGACCTGTGGACTATAATGAAATATCTAACTTTCATGTCATCACTGTCCCACAAGGAGAGGAGAGAGAGGACAGAGCTGGAAAAAGGATTCAAAGAAATAATGGATGACATTTGTCTAAATTTGGCAGAAGACATATTCAATAGATTCGAAAAGCTGAGTGAATCTCAAATAGGATAAACCCAAAGACATACCATAATTAAACTTCTGAAAGTGAAAAGGAAAGAAACAAATTTTGAAGGCAGCCAGAGAGAAACACTGTAAACAATTTGAATGGCAGCATTTTTTTTTCCATCAGAAAACAGTGAGGCTAGAGAGAAGTAGTGTAACAGCTTTGAAGTGCAGAGAGAACTGTCAACCCTGAATTCGATATCCAGCAAATATATTCTCAGCAATGAAGAGGGAATTAAGGCGTTCTTATTTTGGAAGGAAGACTAAGAGTTTGTTGCTTGCAGACCTACTGTAAGAGAAGAGATAAAAGAAGTCCTCTAAACAGAGAGGAAATGATAAAAGAAGGAATCTTGGAGGGAAACTTTGCTTCCTGACTTGCATTTTCACTATTATCTTTAATAGCTGATATAAAAATTATAACAGAGCTTAATGTGG